GGGTCGTGTAAGGAAAGGGGGGGGGGGCGGCTTGCCAGTCGAAGCGGCTTCCAGTTGAGAAAGCCTCACCTATTCGGGGGCCTTTCAGGAAAACAAACAACCCCGAGGGATAAGCCCATAGTGTAGTCCGAGAGGTGAGGGAGGGGGAGAGGTTGCCGGCGGCTTTGCCCAGACGGAGATAGATAGGGGGCAATGGCGGCCGCGGGAGAAGAAGAGGACGAGAGAGAGAAGGGGAGAGAGCGGCGATCGGCGGCTTGATAAGGACGCGAGAAATAAAGGGGGCTGGTGAAGTGGTTAGGAGGTGGCAGAGGCCGACTCGACCGGTCCTCTGCTGCAGCTGGAAGCCCCGGGATACACCTGGGCGTGAGAACTCGTCTACACTCTGCCATACAAATTGTGTATGACATTGTGCTATCCTTCTGTCGTAAATACATTTGTTTTCGTTCGTGGGGTATAACGCGTTTTCTTTTCTTCTCTATGAGCCGCGAAGAATTAGAAGTGCAGAGGGTTTAATTATTTCTTATCTGTTTTTTTTCTTTGTCCCATAGATTGCCCGAGGACGGCGAAAGTCGTCGGAAAGGAGGAGGAGAGAAGTTTCTTCTCCCGAAGCGCAGTGGAGCCGAGGAGCGCTTTGCAGCAGCGGCAGCCCCATAATAATCTTTTGACGGCTGAGTCCGATCAAAGGCCCCGAGGAAATGGGATTAGTCCGGCCAGGGGGGCGTGAATAATCTTGGGAGTGTAATTAGCAGGCTCTCTTCCCCCTCTGAAACTGATCGCCCGGGGGCCGGCGGGGCGGGAGAGGCTCGTCGCCGAGGTGCTCGGCTGCGCCTGGCCGGCCGCCCGGTATCCGACTTCCTGTTCGGCGCCGAGACAAGGGCGACAGGCGGCGCGGCAATAAGAGGAACGGCCAAACTTGTGCCGCGCTTTATCTGGGCGCGACCAGCCTGGCGGCTGTCTTGGTCGGGCGCGGCGTGCGGAGCGCGACGAGGCCGGCGCGCGTACCCGTGGAGCCGCTGTTTGAATGAAGTTACACGGCGGCGCAGCGGCGGTTTATGCATTTTTTAAAAAGCGCGCGGGAGAAGTTTGCCCGCGCGCGTGCACATTTCCCTGCTAAGGAGGAGCCTCCTGAGCCCAGCCCGGCGATGGCAGAATGCGTCGTGATGATAAAGTACTCTTATAGTTTATTAAGCGGGGCCGGGCTTGGGTTAGCCCTCTGGGGGCGGTCCTGGCGGGGTCAGATCTGCGGCCCGCGTGTGTGTCGGCGCCGTTTGTTCGTCACTTCTTTGGCGTACGCGCCCGGAGGAGCGGGGAGCTAGCTGTTTGCTCAGCGCGCCGCCGCCCTCCTATTTCTTGGCTCTCCGCGAGGAGAAAGTTCTATCTTCTCCGCTGTAACACGACTCCTTGGCTCGGCCCCCTCTTCCCCCCCTGTACTGTCCACGAGAAACAGCGTGCCGCATTTCGTTGCTTTCAGTTTCAGCAGCGCGCAAGTGCTGTGGTGGTGGTGGTGGCGTCCCGCGGCTGCAAATAACATGCCTTATCCTAGCATTTTTCTGAGTGCCCTGTCGAAATTCGGTCGAGGTCCATACTTTCGAGACGCCCGGCGGCCCCTTCCCGAGCCGCGCCCTCGACCTGTCGGATGGCCGTGCCAGTATTTCACCGCGGTGCACATGTGACCCGCTGCACTACACCGCGATGGACTTGGGAGGGAGCGGGGCGGAGAGGTGAAAGCTGTCGCCTCAGGTGCGCCGGTCGTAAATCATGAAATACAACCCTTTTGCACCTGTTGCAGCAGTGCGGAGAACGTCGCCGCGGTCACCACCAGGACGACGGCCGCGGCGCGCAGGTGCGCCTCGGGAGCCGCGCACCTTTTCCTCTTCCTCTATCGCTCTCTCCACTCGGGTCTCTGGAGGAGGGGGAGGGAGAGTCTGGTCCGCGACGACGCTACCTCAGCACGACGTTATTTTCCGATTGGATTGATGCCGGTGCGGGAGCCTCTTCCTGGTCTTCTGTGCCGGGGCGGGGCGAGCAACGAAGTGAAGCGAGCGGGACGCGGCGGGGCACTTTTATCGAATCTAGAAAATTTTGCGGGCGCTCATTTCTCTCTGGAGCGATGTGAAATAGACCAAAAGGATGGCGATATCAGCTCCGTACCGTGCCAAAAAGATGGAAAGTTTTGGGGAAAAAATTGCGCCGATATTGCGCGCGCGGTTATTTTCGCAACGCCTCGTTAACGGCCGGGCTCGGCGCCCGGCGGGTTGGTTTTTGTTTGCCGTGGCGCCGGACGAAAGCTGCTTACAAGTTGATTAGGCGGCGGCGCTGCGCGAGGCTCGTCACCCGAGTGACGCGAGCGGCTGAAAAATAACCTCCCCCTCGGAGCCCTCCGGGGGGACTCCGGGGCTGGCCAGCAGCAGCCGAGGGGCGTGGCCTGACTTTTACTTAAAGCGCCGTTTCTCTCCTTCGCTCGCGTTGCGTTGCGTGCCCGGCTGATTAGTCGTTGTTGTTGGTGTTGGTGCGGAGCGCGGGTCAGTGACGCTGAAGAGTCGGCGGGAAACGAGGCAGCGGCCGGCGGCCGCGTAAAAGCGGTGGCGTAGTAAAAAGTGCGTAAAATTAATAAACTTATTCACATTCACGCGTGCGTTTACCGCCGCCGCCTAACCTGTGAGGGGGTGGGGAGGTCGGCCTGCAGCTGAAAGTTGTACAGTGATTGTCGGCCCGAAAAGCCTCAGATGCCAGCAGTCTCACGCGATTCTCACCCCCTCTCCCCTTTTCTGTTTTATCGGACCCGCTCACGGCGGGTGTTTGGACGCTATCGCCGGTGGACAAAGCTGCCCGGTCGTGTGCCTGTCACCCACCCGGGCACCGACATTTTTCCTACCCCTATCCCGCCGCATACCCCCCCCTCCTCCCTCTCGCGCCCGATCCCTCTCCCCCCCCCCCTCTCTCTCTCTCTCTCTCTTTGTCTCTTGCGCCTCCACGGTAAAAGTTGAACCGTCGTAAATAAACATGAAATAAGTCCTTTTCCTACGCACGCCATTTTCTAGGGTTGGATGTAATCACATCCTCTACTCTTTGTGCACTGTAGGAATCGGAGAGAGGGATGTTTTTCCGGTTTTAGTTTGAAACAGAGTGTTTGACCTGTCCAACAGTACAAGTTTTCATTATCCTGAGAGGTGCGAGACTGTCCGTCCACTGTGAAAAATATCGTAAATTGACAAAAAATTTGTTAACTCGAATTATAATTTAAGTTGTAAATTTACGACAGCACATTTCTTATTCGCCAAGGGATTTGAAGTCTTTACATACTGCATGTATTTTTACGATTACAAATTGTAATTTTACTACTTGCGTCAAGGGAAATTTTCTTGTAAACCTACCTACTTTTTTTCACAGTGTCTGAAAAATAAAAAGTAAAGGGACAGTTGGTGTCAGCTTTCGAATTAATTTAATGGCGCCGCCTTGCGCGTCTGGGTGCGGAGCAGTGCGGGAGGCCTTATATTGGCTCCGTTTGGACGATTCGGACAGCGGCCCGCCCGAGCAAGCTTTCAAACGGAAACATTCCGCTGGGGTCAAAGCACTGCTGATGGGGGCTGTGAAGGAGGGTGGGAGGGCGTGTCTGTAGGCGCGCCTACCCAGGGACCACCAAAACTGCAGCGTGCTCCTTTCTGTGTGGGTGTCGCGTGACTTAAATTTCTAGTGCCTTTCAGAATTCGCAAAAAAATTGGTATTTAATGACAACTTAGCTGTTTGTTTTTGCCTGCCGGTGCTAGGGTGGCGGTTTTGCATGGAGATGCTATTCAATGTTACTTTTCCAATAACTGTCCTATTGAGGGTTACAGGGTACACTGAATGTGCCAGTATCAGCGCGTGCTTACATATTTTTCTTTTCAGGTAGCGGCGGCACTGTGCGCTGGGCTGCGCGGAAAGCGCCAAACGTGACCGATTGTTACTCGGGCCGTGTTGACTCGCTGCCCGTAGAGGACCAGAAGACCCCCAAGCACGACCACAGCGCAGTCAACTACTCGGTGGGACCCGCCATCGACTGTGCTGTCCCTGAAAAAAAGCACTGCGTCGTCACTGGATTTGCGGACTGTTTCTTTGGGTGTATGAAGGTCGAGCTCGGGTGGCTGGGGTCGTCCAGGGTGTACGACGTCGACGAAGAGGACGAGGTTGAAGAAGATGAGGAGTGCAATGAAATCCATCATAAGGGGGACCATTGGACTTCGTCTGGCTGGCTTTGCGAGGGACAAGGTTCAGGGGAGCATAGAAATAAGCAGGACGAGGTGGACGCAATTTTTAACTATTTTGCCTATCTAAATGTATAACGTACCGTTTAGCAATTTGTTTGTATATTACATTTTTATGATCATGTTTGCAGAAATCAATAAACTTCATTCAAGAAAAAGAAACATTGTCTTGTTGTGCCCTGGCAAATACAGAAGTGCTCTTCGTTGTCGTTGTTTTGTGTTTTTTTTTATTTGTTGGGGGGAGGGGGGGCTAAAATCCAACCATTTGATTTTCAGTGTTCCTGACGTGCTTGCTGAAAATCTGTATGCCTGTTTTTCAACTACATCTGAAGTGCTTGTAAACAAAACCAAATGTCTTTAGCAAATGAACTGTATTTTTACGTATTTCATAGCTGATTTTTCAAATTAACAAATACGTTTCCTTAACTTTTAGTGACTGAATGCCAATAATCTGTACGAAACCACGTCGTTTGCACTCTAAACGGCAAAGGGGCAATTTGTATACGTAGGCTAGATGTGCCCTTGTGTACTTGCTACATGGTACAAATAATTTCTTTGAATGTCCCGCGGCCCGGTACAAATTTGTATCTGATTAAGATGTGCACGAGGACACATCTAGCCTACGTACAAAAACTGTCCCTCATTAGTTAGTGTGTATGTTGTTTTTCAACGATAACATGTACTCGTGTTACTCTTAGACTTGGGTTCCCTGCAGTCTGCGCATGCTTGTGCGGTATTTGCATGACGGCTTGTTTTGCTTCGCTTATGGGTGGTGGGCTACCCAGTCCTGGCGCATTCTCAACTCACAAATTCGTTTTCTTACAGGTGGTGGTGAGCAGAGCCCTGCGCATCTAAACCTAGTCGTAGAGGAGTGCTACTCTCTGCGTGCAGATCAGTTCTCCAGCGACGACGACCTAATAATATTCGAGGACTACAAGCCAGTCAGTAAACACACGAGTTCGACAGGCGACTATGCTACAACTGGAAACGGTCAAGAGGACAGCCAGCGCCTCGTCGATTTAGATGAAGTAGATCTCAAGGTTACCCTTGCTGTAAAACGTGAAGATGATCTGAGCAGTGAGCCAAATGAGCAGGAAAGACACTTTACGTCACAGAGCGCTGATGAAGAAGGAGAAGAGGGTCAGAAGGCTGACCAGTGTCTCGTTGAGGTCGTGGACGATGTGCAGGGCGTGCCCAATCAACCGGATGTCCAAGTCGAGTCAAAGATAACCGGTGAGATACCAAATCAAAGTGATGTTTGCAAGAAAGTTGTCAAAGGTCGCCTCTTAAAGTCGAAGCACATCAGAAAAATAAACATGAATATGAATCACACCAAAGTCATGTCCAGTCGAAATGATTTTGCTAAAGGAGCTACTATGGACCGCCCTATTATGTCGAAGGACACTACCGAGATACCCGATCGAATTGATGTGTCCGAAGAACCTAGTAACGATCGTCCCAGTAAGTCAAAGCGTAAAATTAAGGTACCGATTAAGTCGGAGCAACCCAGTGAGATACCAATTCGGAGTGATGTTGCCAAAGAACCTTTGGAAGGCCGCCCCTTGAAGACAAAGCACACCAGTGAGATATCAACTCTAAGTGATACTTTTAAAGGACCTGCTCATGACGGCCTCAGTAAGTCAAAGCGCTCCAATATGATACTTAATCAAAGTGATGTTCCCGCAGAACCTACTCTCCTTTCTATCAAGAAGTTGAAGCACAAAATTAAGACACATATAAAGTCGAAACACACGAGTGAGATACCCAATCGAAGTGATGTTGGTGAAGAACCTGCTGAAGGCCTCCATATTAAGTCGGAGCAGACCAGTGAGATACCTAATAGAATTGATTGTTGTGAAGATTCTACTAATGACGGCCTCAAGTCTAAGAGCTCCACTAAGGTACCAAATCGAAGCGATGTTTCTTCAGACCTCCATATCAAGTTCAAAATTAAGATACCCACAAAGTCGAAGCACACCAATAAGATAGACAATGAAAGAGACGTTGCCGGGAAATCTGCTGACCGTCCCATTAAGTCGGAGTCCACCAGTGAGATACTTAATCGCAATGATGTTTCCGCAAAATCTACCGAAAAACATCCTATGAAGGTGAAGCAAAAAATTAAGTTACCCATCACGTCGAAGCATACCAGAATGATACCCAATCGATGTGATGTTGCTCAAGAATCAACGAAAGATCGCTCCATCAAGTTGAAGAGGAAAATTGATTTACCGAATCAACGTGATTTTTCCGAGGAACCTACCCAAGACAGCCCCAAGTTGAAGCACAAAATTAGGATTCCGAAACGATGTGATGATGCCGACGATCCTGATAGAGACCGCCCCATGAAGCGGGAGCCCACCAGTGAGATGCCTAATAGAGGTGATGTCTCCGCAGAACCTACTAACGACCGTATCAAATTAACGCACAACATTAAGACACCTATAAAGCACGCGGAAGATGATTCAGATGAACACCGCCCCGTCAAGCCGAAGAACACTAGCGAGATGCCTACCCAAAATGATGTATTTGAAGAACATGCACACTACCGTCCTATCATTATAACACGAATGAAGGTTAGTACGGGCATGAGACCATATGAATGCGACGTCTGCCCGAAACGTTTTAAATCTGATGTTGTCCTGCACTCTCACATGAAGAGGAGACATGCTCCGGAAGGACATACTCAGTGTTACGTTTGTAAAAAGATACTCTCTTCTAAATCGTCCCTCAGTCAACATCTTGTAAGGATGCACACGCGTGAGAAGTTTGAATGCCCCGTGTGCAGGGCTACTTTTAATCAGAAACATTTCCTTGTCTCACACACTTTGAAGACCCATTCTGACTGGCTTCGTCGGCGGCGTGAGCGCGCTGCAGTAAGACTGAAGCATCAAAACCAATCATGATGTAGACTCTACTGACTTTTCGTGTTAAGACTATTTTCCTTTCTATTTTTACCTTGACATTTCCGTTAATATGCTTGCTGCAAATAGTTTAATTGTTACTTTCAAAATCAGATTTATACTTTACCTTATTTTATAAGTGTATTGTACCTCAAATGAGTGTAATCAAAGTAACAGGCTTCTATCATGAAACTGTACTATGTTTAATTTGTATTT